GCAGCTCTGGCAGATTTTCTGGAGATTGGCCAAGAACGTCTCAGCAAAAAGGGTACAAGACGTACAGAGTATTCACGGATATCTGGAGAGGAGTTTGGTTGCCTCAACACAGGCATCTAATGCCGATTAGGTGATGGAGGGAACCCTGCCTGCCCTCCAGGTGCCATACCAGCAGCATAGGTCCTGTGTCACATCTGCGAAAGCCACAAAGATACCTCAGATGACCTAACACTGCATGCCAGTTCTGGCAGGATAATATTCTCCATTTGCTTCTCATTCAAAGATGTTCTTCCAAAGGAGGCCGAGATGATTAGCTTACAAGTTGGGAACTAGACGGAGGGCAGTCCCAGCCAGCAGACCAGCAGCAGAGGTGGAAACAGAGCCCAGCCCTGAGGCACTGCCTGCCTGGCTAGGCTGGGTTACTAACACAGCAGCCAGCCTCCTTTTCTCTCTCCCCACTAAAATACAAAAGCAAGGTTATCGGAGACTTAAAAACCAGGGGAGAGGGGAGGATGTTCAACCCCAAAATTAGCACCTGATCTGGATTTGCCAATAATAGTAGTATTTGTGTCTATACAGACAACTTGAAAACTCCAGAAGCAGCAATGATACGCAAGTAGGATTATGAACACTTTTCTTGTTCAAAGTTGCAGGAAATCAAACAAGATCTTACTGCAAAGTCCAAAACCTCCATGTCAGTTCATAGTATTAAATGTAATGATTTTGTAGTTCAGATACTCTTATGTACAGTACTCAGTCTATTATAATTTTATGAAGCTTCTTAATCTACCCAGAAGACTAGGGGGAAAAAACCAGAACCAACCAAAGTGAGCATTTGTTAAGACAACAATGTGTAAGGGAAGAAAAAAGAAAAGACAAACTGAAGAGAGTATTGGCGAGCAATCTGGGAAATTTCATCTTGTTAGATATTCTAAAGAACTTACCCACAAAAGGAAAACTTTCTCTTTTTTGAGTAATAAATTCATAATCTCCATTACCGAGTGAAAACCATTCTTTAATTTACAGACAGTCAAAGCAACATGCAAAAAACTTAAACCATGAGATGAGGTAGTCTATCGCTGCCATGTTTTAGAAGAAAAGAAAAGCTCTTGCTGGTCCTCACCTTCCCTTGGCAGCCCTTTCACAGGCACACCAACACTGGGGCTCTGCCCTTGCTTAGTCATGTTTTAGAAGAAAAGAATCCAGTAAAAATGTCAGTGGGATGAAAGGGACTGAAAACAGGAAAGTGTCTGCAACCCTTGAGAGCAAATACATTCAAAGATGGATTCACATGAATCTTTCAATTTCGTTCTCCATATGATTCAAAATTGACACTTAAAAAAAACATACTCAATTTCCAATAATCCTACCTGTTTGACATTTGGCAGCTGGAAGAAGGTATGAAGTAGTCCAAAATAAAACCAGATTACATTATTTGTAAGTTAAACTTCAAGTGAAATTTGAAATGGAAAATCCAGCCTTTCATTTTGTTTCAATAAAAAGCATAGTGAAAGAAGCAGGGAGCTTTGTAAACAATTTTTTTTTTCCTTAAATTGTCAGCACTAGAAAAGGTAAGAGTTGAGGTAAGCATGACTATGAATTCCTGATCACAGGACTTCATAAAGGCATATAACAAATGAACAAAGAGAAGTTAATATTCTCAACCACGCAGAATAGGGTAGGGGTGGATAAAAGAAATGCTAGATTCCATAAATGAAAGCTGTTAGTTCAGGATATGGAGACATAGATTTTTTCATAAAAAGTGGAAGAAAAAGAAGCCGTAGGCTACACACAGAAGTGCTGGCCACAAGAGCCTCCTAAAGGTCTCTGGTCCAGCTTCCCATTTGAAATGAGACTACTGCCCACACCAGGTAATGTGAGCCACAGCTCTCCCCCAGCCAAGTCTTGAACATCTCCCAGGAGAGGGGTTCCACAGTTTGTCTGGGCAACTTGCTTCAGTACAACCTCCTACGTAAGACTTTTCCCCCTAATGTCCAATCTGAACCTCCAGAGCCTTAATTTGGTACTGTTTCCTCTTGTTTTAACACCTGGCACTATGAAGTTTGGCTCTGTTATCCTTGTAAGCACCCTTCCAATACCTGTAGGCTGCTATTCGTGCACCCCTTAGCCTCCTACCAAGGGAACAAGACTAGCTCCCTTAACAACTCCTTGTCAGTCACATGCTACTGGACCCTCTCCAATTTCTCTACAACTCTCAAAGTGGAGGGGCCCAAAACTACATACAGGCATGGCCTCATCAGCCCCATGTAGTGGGGACATTAACTTCCCTCAATCTGCTAACCATGCTACTCCTAATCTTGCTCAGCGTCACTGGGGTTACAAGAACCCAGCTGTATCACTATCGCTAATCATGTTTACTTTCAATTATTTGAATGACATGGCAGGCAAATAAGAGAAACAGAGGGGCTTGCAGAGAGCCTGAAGGCTGCTGTGTATGGGAAGAAGAGATACATCAGGTAAAAATTTGTGACATCCTCTGGCAGCATAATTTTAACAGAAAAATATTTTCTGCTGAGTCTACACACATGTAACTTGCATCTGCCTTCAGCAAGCATCCAGTAAGACCTTGAGTTACCATTAATAACCACTCACATCGTACGTCAGTGAATCTGCCTCATTGGCTACTGTAAGGCCTGCCAGTTCTCCAAGACCCAGCTCATTTTCAAGGGCTTCATCTGCTCCCATAATGAAAGACTTCCCTGAAGAAGGAGGGAATGTTAAAGCTTCCACTGCAAGAAAACATAACAAAAAAAAATCCTGAAACATCAGTTTATACAGCATTGTTTAATAAAAGCATATTTTCCACTTCCAAAATACTAAACAACTCTCAAGTAGCTGAGGGCAAAAAGATATAAAAAGATGCATAAAACCCCAGCCATTCTAAAGATAATCACTGTACTTTACCAATAAACAGTATCCTCTGAACATAATACTTACACTTGAGGTGTGCATGACTCAAGACAGTAAGCGTAATTAGCCACAGGAGGGAAGAGTACACTACCGTTCACCCATATATAATGCAAAAGTAACACAGAAAATTTCGGGCCCTTCCCCAGCTCCACTATAAAATATGCACATAGGCTCTGAAGTAGCAGCAAAAATGTAGACAAGAACATCTGGTGGGACCAGCTGGACTCCTCCTTCCTAACACTGTGTCCACACACATCCAGAAGCATGTCTACAATGAAGCTGTTTACATGCACTCCAATCTAGCAATACGACTGGAAGCTGACAATTCATCTCTACTTGTAAAATCAATTTAACCACCAAACAGATTAGTCAGCACTGAATTTCAGGTTTTTACTAGCAGTATCTAAACTTACTAGTTCACAGCTACTATAGCATGCCTATAGGAGCTCCAGTCACTGTAACATAAACACATCCACAGGCAGATTCACTAGAAATGGGAGGATCAAAGGCTAAGAGGAGTACAGTGCACATGCTTGTATCACATAAGGCTCTGCATCAAGCGGTACGACTTGAAAGAAGCTGTGCCTTTACCAGCTTCTCTGTACCATAGCTCTCCAAGTCCATATATCACAAAGGGGGACTGAATAAGATGAAAACGTGTTATCTTCTGGACACAAGTGACTTCGCTCAATTTTATACATATTTTGTCTCAAATTACAAGGGTTTTTCAGTAAATTACAATTTTTTCCCCTTTCAGCTCCATTTTAAACACAAGCCATGGCAAATACTGTTGCTGCCAGGGAGAGAGAAAAGGAAATGCCATCTCATTCTCAGCCTCTTTAGTCTAACAGCACGAACACCAAGTTAAAACCAAACAAACTACGGTTTACAATGAATAGCCTGATCTGTTCAGGCTGCTTCCCTCTTCTCCTGAAGGTATCAGGTTCAGATGCTATTCAATTCCCCTCCAGTCCACCTAGCATAAAGTAAGCTAATCTTTCTGTGGTCTTTCTGTTTCACACTCATACCTCTATTGAGCATCCTGTTTGCTTTCTATTACTTTTTCCAACCAAATAAAAGCCCTTCAAGCTCTGCCATTTGTTTGGCCTCTTAGTTATTTCCTTTTAATCACAAACATCTCTTACCTTCTTCACCCTCAAGTCTAAACTACCATTCTCTTTTTCTCTCTTTTGAACTTTATGATGTAATATTCCACTCAACACCCAACACATACAGGACATCAAATATGAAAAGTTACTAGAATAAAAAAAATTGTATGCCAAGAATATCAGAGTCTCAGATTTATAACAGAATACATAGCTAATACTTTGTAATAGTGAACTCAGACTGGTAACAATCAGCTGTCTTCTGTTTCTCTGAATGTCCGTCTGAGTCTCTGAATTAAAGAACACATTCTTGAAAGGACATGAAAACAGAGCTCTGCTAATATGGCTCTCAGTACATGTGAGAAAAGTTGGAAAGGAAACATTCAAGAAAAGATTCCTCCACTTCCCCAAGTGTTGCTAAGTTACCCCCTTCTTTCATAAAGAAAAATCACTGAGCATGTAGGAAATAGAACTACTGAGATCTTTGGTAACTATGCCACACGCCGGGGCTTTTTATGCATCTTAATTAAAACTTGGCCGCCCTACTTTTTCACACTCATTGAAAGACTGCTAAGTGAAACCCGTGTTTTGCTCACTTTTCGAAAGACATATCTACCATTTAAACGAAGAGCACATGATATGATCCTCTATAAATTAATATAGCCTCATATATTTATTTTATTGTGCTGCATATTCTAGCAATTCAAATGTTGAATCAAATAGATGATTTAGCAACTTTCAGACGTAATACTAATGAGGGTAACCACATGCCTCATTGCAAAGATGCTTGGCTTTCCATACTTGGACTAGCCGCTATGAGAATTTTTTTTAATTTCTGAAACACATTATGGAAATGAACACACTAGCAAGCTGTCAGTTGTTCTGTATGATTCACTACACAATCACCACATGCATTTAAAAGCTATACCTAGCCACTTGCGTTTACCTGCAGAGCCTCTATCTTTGCACTTAAAAAAAGAACACATACATATGTGTGTGTGAGTATATATGCGTATGTATATATACAGACATTTAAAATCATGTTCATGGGGAGAAAAACAGATGCTGTTATGTCCTGAGAGTTTATATTCCACACTTGACTGCCAGGCCTGAGCACCAACAAAAGCAAGTGATTTAAGATCCTCATATTACAAAGCCACCAAGTGTCAAATGAGTTTTTCTTCCATCATGTTCAAAGGTATTCAGCCACGACCCTACCTAGGTAGGTGTCTTGACCTTACTAATAGTGACTGGAGGGGAGGAATAGGAATGCCATTTATTGCACTTAGACAGAACTCATAATGTTGAATCAGTATTTGTAAAGTGCTTGGAAAGTCTTACAGGATAACCTTTAAGCAGAAGTAACTATAAACAGCTACCTTTTACAAAGGTGTATGCACATTTTTAATACCTACCCTCATCTGTCCTGTTTATCTCGTGTTCAATGAGCCTTGAGCTACTGGGCCTAGAAGAAGGTGCAACAGATGGCTGCAATGAAGGGAGATCATCAACATCTCTCAAGTTTGCAAGCATATCTTGCAGCTTTGACCTGTTGGGCCCTAACCAGAAAAAAAAAAACAACACAAAAAATTAAATGGTTTATGCATAGTTTGTGACAGCACTACTTTTATCAGATATGCTACAGTAGCACATGCAACAATGGATCCTACCTTGCATTATAACGTTACCACAGAAAAACTAATGAGCATCTATTTTCAGCAGTAACTAATCATCCAGCATGAAATGAATTTCTTGAAAAGAAAAGTGATAGAAGCAACTGAGAATTGTGAATGCACAATTTTCCCCACATTTATAAATTTCATACTGCTACTTGCATGGGATGCTGAAGAATGCCTCCAACTGAGTCACACCGATTATTAGAATATTTACTTTTCCAAAACAACAGCTGACATTTGTGAATATTTTAAAATTTGTACATCAGGTAGTTTGTGCAGCTTATTCTTATGACAACATGATTATTTTAAATTTATTTGTGTAGTATTGTGAACTATATAATCAAAAAGTTAAATTTATATTAAAATATAAATGCAACTGGATTCACTGGCCTACTTCCTGAAGCTACATATGGTGAAGACCCATGCTCTTCTTGACACTTACCTGTGCTTTGCTCCATCATTTTCCCACATCCCTGTTTTGACTGTTTTATATAGGATTGAGGCTGAAACATATCTTCGGTAGTTTTTCCTGTTGTAAGTTTAATTAAGAATGGGAAAATGTCTTACCCATAGTCCATTATGTTTTTTCCTAGACCAGTAAATAATACAGCTATTTTTAAGCAGCTTTAACACAGAAGTGTACTGTAATATATGTATTCTCTCATAAAACCATTCTATGATTCTATTCTCTTATTACTTCACAGGAGTGTTTACTACAGCCTTGCAAAATCATAAGTTTACTAATGCAGTTGCAAACTCTACTTTATCCACCCTAACCATAACGACTGATAATAAACTAAATTGTATTTAACTTGTCTGTCACAAAAATATTACTCGATTGAGGAAAACCGTAAGTAGGATTTTGCAAGATTGTTTTACTATAGTATTTGATTTATAAAAACAGTATTTTACTTAGTAGCAGTTCAGTGTCTAAGCACCATTTATGATGAGATTATAGTCACAGAAACAAACTTTGTACAATTTAATGTTAAGATATTTAGTCCCTTCCTTTTCCCCGGACTTCCTTCCTCACATTCTTCTTCACTATGTGCAATATAATGAATAGCTGAAAACAGACTGTGATTCTTCCTGATTTTTCTGCATTGATGCCCTTCCAACGATGGTTTGTCCATGGAAAGATGCTTAATTTCTGTACTGCTGTAAACCATTTGGTCTCCCAAGATCAAACCAATCAGATCAATCCAAAAGGTACCATAAATGTACTAAGCAGTAGTCATCTTCATGAAGGTGCACTGGATGTCCAAGTGCTCCCTTACATCAGGAATTTTTCTCATAAATATATAGAACATGTTCCAATAATATCTATATTAACAATTACGTTTTATTATTAAAAATAAAAAGCACTCAACAGCTGTTCAAGAATATTATTTCAACAGTTCGATTAAATAATTTCTGCTAAGTTAACCCTACAACTGTTTACCCTCAACAACATAGCATGTCTGTGTATTTTAAAAATAACAGACAAGTTACAAAAATCAATTTCACTGAAGTCATATATTGGTATGCCCTCTCTATCTTAACTATAAAGAAATTTAGAACCAATTTTGTGAAACATGAACACTTTAGTTGGCCAGCTCAGCTTCTTGTCAGACTGGCAATTAATTTCCGGTAACTTAAATGATACCAAAGATGACAAAATTTCACTTGAGAAATTTAAAGTATGGCAGTGATTTACTTTTTTTCACAAAAAATAAAAACAAGGAGGTTTAGTTTGTGTATTTGATAGCATAATTTCAGCAACATAACCAACTGCTGAGCGGCAGTTTATCATAGTATCCATACCAAAAGTAACAAAATAAGTCAGCCCCAACGATGTGAGGATCTGACACCTTTTGCATCATTACGTACGTCTCTTTGGAAGTGAGAATTTCCTTGGTATTCATAAGCATCTTCCCACAAAGGGAGAAACATCCCTCAAATTTCTTACTGGGCTACTTGCGATATTATTAATTTACATCATTCACACACGCATTCTCAATATGGCTAGATGTTTGAAATAGAGCTGTGAATACAGTGCTTTATTTTAAACATTTCATCTGATTTCAAGAAGTTTTAAAGCTTACTTATAAAAAAAACATTGATTTTACATAACAGATTTGTATTTCAAGAAATGTAACAAAAAATATAATACAGGGCTAGAAACTGTATTTCAGATACTGATCATAGTTTTTTGTTTGGATAACAATACCCAACATTTTTAAAGGCTAGTCCCACAAGTATGAAAGTCAATAAATAAATCCTGTGATTTACAAACAAACTGATGGTCAGAGTTGCTTCCTATTTCGAGCCCTGCATAACAAATTAAGATGACAGCATGACTTTCATGTTGTGAATGTTAAGTATAAACAGGGGTAGAAATTAACCTGTTTTCTCCCTCTGTCATCTAATAGGATACTCAAGACAGTTTCTGGTTTGTGTTTTTTTTATTTACATACCAGACTTTAACTCTTCCTGTGAAACTGGCATGTTTCCAGCTAAGAAAGGGTTCTGAAGTCTTCTATATTAAAGTGTGAACTATTAAACCAATGCTTTTTACAATTTAAGCTTCTGAATAGCAAAAGTATAATCCATGCTCAAAGGAAGAATTTTTAATTAATCCAACACCTAGTTGGAAGAAATTACATCTAATCACACTACTTATCAGGTAACTTGATTGACTGTCATTAATTTCAACCCCTGAGAACTGGTGAACAGGAAAGCAGTCAGGAGCAGCAAAGTAAAAGAGTAAGTAATTTTAGGAAAACATTGAAAGAGAGATAGAATTAAGGGTGTGAAAGATGTGAGATTTATGATTTTAAGGTGCAATGTTTTCCACTTACTCTTCACCCCCTTTTTCCCCTTGCGCTCCTTTTTGTATTGTTCCTTGAGTTTGGTTATTACTCCCTGGTCGACATTCCAAGCTTCAGGCATGAGACACTGGTCTTCCTTTTCTAAACAAAGTGAAACAAATGAAACATCCTTTTTCAATAATGTCACCAAGTGATCTCCACTGAAGGAGCTAACAGCTGCTGTCAATGGCATTTGTCTTTTATTTTAAACAGACAGAAACAGCACTAAGCTTGTGAAAGCTGTAAAACTGCTACTCACATTCCACTTCTATTTGCTCAGAATTTTCTTAACAAAAAAATGAGATGAAATTTCACATGCCTAATTTCTATAACAAAGCACGTAGCTGTTCATAAATGTAAGCAATGTTTACTTTATAATAAATCAGGACATATTTTTCAGCTTTTTCTTTCCTCCAGGGAAAGAATTACTGTATCTAGAAGCAGCAGCTATGTTACTAGTCAACATAACTTTATAACTCAGATGTTGCATCACTGCACTTCAAATTCTCATTTCATTGTCTTTGTGCTATGTTATCATTTACGCAAAGCAGCAGCACATTTAAATCATTTTGGAACACAGTATACATGTCACCAAGGTTTGAATAAAATCTTAAAGTACTAAAGCCATGAAATTTCACAAAAAGGGGAAGGCCTGAGTTATTAGTCTTTGAAAAAATACACAAAACATTTCAACATGCCTAATGGAAAAAAAAAAATCCCCCCCCCTTTTTTGTTTAAACCATCTCCCTCAAATTGCTTTCCCTGTGACATGATACAGAGAAGTATTCTTCCAACAGTATGGTATTTGGAGATTTTGAACAAAATGTGTTACGTGAGTTCAAATCTCCAAGTCATTTTTTCCATATATGGAAAGACTGTATGAGGCAGCTTAAAAAATAAATTTGCAAGGAGGGGGGGAATACAGCTTTTCCTCATGTATTTATTTTCATGGCCACTACAGCAACAAAATTGTTTGAAATGCATTATCTTTTTGCTTTGTTTTCCTCATTAAAATCTCAACCTTACTAGTTAAAAATTGATTCCTTTCAGACCAAGTTTTCTTTGTACATCAATAAACTATTCTAGACCTTTTAAAATAAGAACAACAATAAACTTATCCTCAGACTAATATGCAAAAGGAGTATTAAATGTCTGTAGAGGAAGCACAACACTATCAATCACAATCTGAAGGAGTCACTATGATTGGACAGAAGACACAAAACCAGACATGGGTTATTACAGCGGTTGACTTGTTAGAAATTAAGTGTGCTGAAGAAGACCTAGGGGTCCTCCATCAGCATCAAACTGAACAGGAGTCAGCAGCATACTCTTGCAGCAAAGGCGATCAGCTGTATCCTGGGCTGTATTAAGAGGATAACGTAGGCAGTAGGGTGAGGAAAGTGATTATTGCCCTCTATTTGGCACTTGTGACACCACACCTTGAGTGCTGCATCCAGTATAATATTTCTTATACTGGGAAACCTTGCAAGTATAATGTTAAGTACCTAGCACTGATATAGTATAGCAAGCCCAGGGAGACACTCAGATGGTTAAGGCAGCTGGAGCAGATGAGCTACAGGGAGGGGCTGGTACTACTGTGAGTGTTCAGTGATAGCAAAAGAGGCATCTTAGTGCTGCCTACAACTACCTAATGGGCAGGTGTAGAGAAGACAGAGACAGACTCTGCTCTGACTTGCATCACAGAAAGACAAAATACTTCTTACCACGAGGACACTCAAATACGAGAATACTTCCCCGAGAGTTTATGGGAACTCCTTTCTTGGAAGACATTCAAAACTTGACCAGAATGCAGCCAGAGTAACCTGCTGCAAACAGACCTGAGCAGGAAGTTAGACTAGATGACCCCTCACTCCTTTGAACCCTCCAGTCATGATCCTACGCTCACGAGTGACAGATTAATTCAAGACCCAAAGTCTTGAGGCATTAGTCTTTTTGCAGCAGCTATGAAAATAGACAGGTATTAATAAGGTGAAGACAGACTCTAAAAAAAGATGGTCTGTGAGCTAAGTCATGTCATCTTAATACATATGCCCAATTAAGTACCACTGATGATCAAAAATTGCATGAAGAACTCAAAAAAGGTATGAGAAAATCATACTTGAGAGAAACAAGTATGTATCCTTTCTGGGACCAGGCTGTACGTTTTAATCATGCTTCTGCTCCCTGGCTAGACAAGATTTTTTGCTCTCCTCCAATAAAAAGTTTAAACGGATTTATATTAGATTGTATTGTTGCCAAGAAAATACTCAATACATTCATTTTCTATAGACAGTCCCAGGATGCTTCCTGCATGTCCCATAAGTTCTGTTCAACTTCACAAGTGGATCCTGAACTACTGCTGTGCAAGTGCTTTACAGTTTAAAAGTTACCTGAACACTTCTGAAGAACTTTCAAGCCAAATGGGTTCAACAGATTACTGTAAGGGATCAGTAATGCTTGGGATCCAAAATGAATTCCTCTGCTTCTATCCGTGCTACACAACATTTTCTATGCTACATTTAAGTTTCACTTAAATCAAATTAATGTAAGTGATTCATAATGGCAGTTCCTTGAAGAAGCTTATTCTTATATACAGTTACCACTAAAGACACAGGTTGTGAAACAAGTAATGTCTGTAACTCAAAAAACCCCTTAATATTTCCAGAAACAAAACTACTACTTTCCATGACAACTTATTTTTAATGTTAGACTTTTGCTCATTTGTACTCAGCTGTCATCAATGAAAGTAAAAATAAACCAGAAGCGTGAATTTGAGAACAAAAAAAGCTCCTGTTGGCATACTAACTTTTTGGTGACACAAGCAATAGCTACACTTATCAAGCATAAATGGATAAGATTTTAATATTTAAAAGAAGCATCAGAACAACACAATAAAAAAAACAGTAACATACCTAAATTTGTTTGGTGAACAGAATACTGACTGCTGTATCTAACAGTATCAAGACACAGCCTCTTAAGCAGAGAGGCTACCCCACAGTGAACAATAATTCGAGGTCCAAGCAGGAGTTGGACATGGTTTCAGTGAAATACAGCATCTCACAGCTGTTAGCTCACATGGGAGCCACAGCTACCATAGCCTATCTGCCTGTCAAGGTTTCAGTTCCATTATAAAGCTCAACTATTTCTCAATCATCTTCCACAGCTCCCTCTGTGTCCACTTATGCTTAAGACTTTCCAGAGTAGCTTATGGAGGAAACAACTCCCTATTGAGATATTTAACCAGTTCTCTTCCTTCTTCCCTTCCCTATGCCGTGGGTTTATGCAGAATAATTATGTCAAGGTAAAGCAGATGCTGGCATTCTGGGTTGCAGGACATGAAGAACAGACAAAGAACAGTTTGAGAAATGTCTCTCTATGACTAGGAGGCTTAAAGATATATTCTTCTGGTAAGTTACAAAAGAAAATTTGAGCAACCGAATAGTTCATATTGCCCAAATTGCTAACACACAGTAAGAGTACAACTAATTCAGTCTTTATGACTCACATAACTGTCTGTATCAAAGTAGGAGAAAGCAAGTAAGACGAAATAATTTTCATGTTGTAATTGTAAAATACAGCTTTATCAGAGCCCATCATTAGCATGGGTCACTAGAAAAACACATTGAAATCCTACTCATAAAATCCAAATTCCATCTCCCTTATTATTAAAGAAAAGGAAAAAGACAATGACCAGAAGCATAAACCTTGAAGAATCCTTACATTAAAGCAGCCTACAGAAAAATGAGAATATTATGTCAAGAGGACTTCAGTTTGCCAATTACTTACTGTAGGAATACTCAAAAGGTGCCGTGATCGTAGCAGAGATCTCAATCAATCACTCACAATATATTCTTAGCACAATTTTTTTTCTCCTAGTACAATCCATTAAATTTCCTTACCCCAGTCTGTTCCATCTCCTGAACTTCTTGATTCCCCATCACCTTCATCTGAGGTAACCAAAAAGTCAAACTCTTTCAAAGCTTCTTCTGTATCTCTGTCTTCACTGCTGTCAGATAGCACTCTTTTCCTTACAATCTGAAAGGTCAGGAAGGAGAGAAAAAAGCTGAACTCAGTTACACACACATCTTTATACCAAGCAGTACTGTTTTGTCTTCTATGCAAAATCCTAACAGGAAGTGAAGAAGCAGAAAAGTACACATTAATAAGTGAATCTGGAATAAGCATGCAGACTTTGTTCAAATTTCCAAGTCAAAATGAAATTTGTAGATCTTCCTTCCTGTGACCACCAATAATCAAGCACTTGATAATAAATCTACACTCATCTAGCCCACTACTATTTTTTCTTAATACCAGAAAAGTACAGACTTTCTCTTAAAAGAGATCTGGGGGGAAAAAAACAAACAAACAAACAAAAAAAAAACCAAAAAAAAAACCCACCACAAACCCAACAAAAAAACAAACACGTAAGACCCACAAAAAATCCAGAATGCTGTAAAAAGCAAAACCAAACTCATTCTCCTTCTCTGAAAACAGCCTGTTTAACTCTCACCTCTGAAATCACTCTACGTGTGGACCAAAAGACAAGTCCAGAAAAAAACCCCCCACAACTAACAAGAGATAATTTGCTTAGATTCAGCAAAAATCATTCCATTCTGAATACCTTCTCAATCATTACTGTTAATTAAACATGATACTTCCACGTTTAAACTGCATTTCCCTTTCAAATTCAAAAGTAAATTTCGTACAAAAAAAATTGGTACAAAAAATTTGGTACAAAAATATACGTGTTTTAATGAAGGACCTCATTGTACACTTTCTGTAATAAATTTTCTTTTCCCTCAATAATCAAAATGAACTAGATGCTTTACAGTTATTTGACTAACCTGTGAGCTGACGCCATGATACACAAAATCTGTAGTATAAATTTTACTTTTACAGAAAAAGAAAAATTACATTCATCACAGTATTTTGACCTGGAACCTTGCTAAGGGTCAGTCTGAAAAGACTTCAATACATAGACCAACATCCCATAGTTCATGAGGATGAATGACTGTTTCCTCTAAATACAATGAACCAATTTCAAAACCTGAAGCAATTCTAAACTTCAAGCTTCATTCCTTCAGCAGGCTTATTGAACATACTGTAGTACAGGTAATTTTACAGAAGTGTCTCAGACATTAGATCATACATGACAGGAACAAGTTTACAAAGATCGCCTTTAAAACTGATGGTTTTTTAAGTGTTCATTCTTAAAACTGATCCTAGAAACAACAACAACCATCATAACTCCTATCTGCTTCAGTTGTTAGGAAACACAACTCATTAAATAAATATTGGTTTTGAAAAGAGGAGGATAAAATTGAGTACTGATTGTATGTATCTATTTTATGTGATCATATGACCAAATCACATAGCAAAGTCTAGATCATGAGGGAGTTTCAGGTATTTGACTGAATAAACAAACAAAAAAGTTCATTAATCACGTTAGAGTTTTTCCAGTTATACTTTCTCTTTCTTTCACAAGCTATTTAAAGAGAAATGTGGTATTTCAGTTCTGTATCTTACAAGGATACATTTCTAACAGTCATTTAAAATACAAATACATTTATATAACTATTCAAGAAACAATGTATTTTTGACATGCAACATTATGAACAATACCTTCAAACTAACTATATCAAAAATACTAGGCAGTATGGAATAGTGGAAAGACAACGTAAAAAATTTTTATCTGTCACTGCAAACTTAAAGCAATAAAGATGGCAAAGCTTAACTTGTATGCACAAACTCAGAATTCCATATATAATTCCTGTTATGCACACATGCTTGGACAGACCATCATGAAGATGCATTAATGATTTGCATGTGTACATACACAGTCATATACTTTGCATATAGGCATCTCATTAATCTCACTTTTTCTGTTCTTCGTAACTTTTTCAATTATTTTTTCCACTCACTGTTGCGGTATCAATGATTGTTTTCTCTCGTCCTTCAATATCTTCCTCATCTTCTTCATCACTAAAGTCTGCAGCTGCATTTTCAAGAAACTTGAAGGTCTCTAGCAGAGAGGCAGAGTCAGTCAATTCAGGTTTCCTAAACAACAACAACAACCACCATCATGAGTCAAAAGAAATCACAACAACATCACTTTTGCAATTACCAGTCTGTTCTGCATTATGATGTCCAACAAGACATGAGACTAAAATAAGCCTACAGGTAAAAATGGACTATTACAGGTAAAAATGTTTGTGGATTAAAAAACTCAACATTATCCATAAACTACCTTATTAGAACCAACATGTATTCTTCATCCAGCCACAATTACCACGACAGACACTTCAATTTTTTTATTTGAAAAGCATTTTAAAGCAATATTCATCTGATATGTCCCCAAAAGCAACATCATTTCTGATATACCATCACTGAAAGCCTCAGCAACAATGACATGAGTTACAGCTACTAACTTGGCCTCCCACATGTACATCAGGGTACAGGAAAACTTTGCTGCTGCTATCTGATGTTCCTCATCTTGCTGAGAAACATCAAGCTCTAGATCCCATTCATTAACTTTTAAGACAGGGTAATTTTCCCACTATAAAAGAATATAATGGGAAAATATCATTGATGACTAAAAAACGTTTATGTAGATGTTAACATTAAACAAATAAGGAAATGGACGAAGATTGGGTAAAATTATGACTGCACTGGCACAAATTCAGGCAGTGCCTCAGATCAGGAAGCATAAGTGCTGTCATAATAACAACTGAAGAGTAAGAATCCAAGAAGCAGGGCTGTAAATGTTATTAAAACTCTGATCAAAGTACAATTAAAGCAATCCTAAAACTAACAACAGGTACCGTGTTTTCTGTGTAGAAGATGCACTTCTCTATCAATCCCTCAAAGATAAAGTGGTGCAAAAAAAAGAGTTATTTAGTTTGAATTGTAATGATTACTTTCAGTAAAACCTTGTGCATTCTTTACATGACTTTACAGCCATAAAGACAAGCTTTATTGTTTTCTTACCTTTAATCAGTAGTCTGTTTTTCAAAGTTCATCACTAAATGCACATCATCTTGATTTTCACAACCACTGAAACAATAGAAGTCTGCCTCTCTTTTTTCAGAGTTGTAGCTCTAAATTGTCTTGTACAGTCACTCTTAGAAGCAAGTGCCTTCCTAATGCTACATTTTGCTTCTGCTATGACCCGTTTCAAAATGTTCAATCAACAAGCCTATGTAGTAAACCCTTTGCAACTCCCTGTAGTGTAGCCACCTAATTATCTGTCCATCACCCACTTATTCCAGCATTTCTTCATAACACTTTTCAATGGTTTGTTACTGGAAACATCCAAAGGCAAAAGCTCTGATGTGTAATAAGGCGTGATAAACAGCACACTTCCTTCTTTACACAGTCTCTGCTTAAGCAGTTCTATGCTTACGTGACAACAATTAGCACGAGTGGCTTCTTCATAGCCCCAATATGTCAGCATCTCATTAAGACAATTTCTTATTCTAGCCTTTTTTCATTTACTCATCTTTACGGCTCAAAAATACCAATAAAGATTTCACTTGCCATTAGAAAATCCACACACACACTACCCTAATATACCATGATGTACAGTATGATTGCACGGTCACTGGTTTTACTGAGAAAATTCCTTTCACTTTCCCATACCTTATCTTAGATAAGAGCAATCTCAAACATGCTTTCAATTTGCCTTGCTTCCTGCAGTATTTTGACCCTCTCGTTTCTATGACAAACCCAAGAGCACTCAGTAATATTTTTCTTTTTCCTTAAGTAATCACTATTTTGGCAGACTATATTATCTCATGAATCTGTAGTACTAATGTACATTTTCACAGAAATCCTATGGTACTGTTATTTTGCTGTTTCCAACACACAAATCTTGATGAGACAAAACTTGTAATGTGCTTCACTTGACTAACTTCTTGATTTTCAGCAAATTTTGTGTGTCCTGGTCAATTTTTAGTTGACAAAATCATCCAACCACAATTGTACTTCTGTTTTTACCTCTGTAATTTGCTGTGTAAAAATCTGCCGTGTAAAAACATCAGGGCTGCTGATCTATATTAGCAACTATCAGACATGCTACAGTAAATATCAGCTTATGAACTAATACCAAACATAAAATATAAAGTTTTAATCAACAGAACTTGTTATTAAGACACAGATATCCTTCTACAGGTACAAGTATTTGCAGTAATTCATACCTAGATTTGGTTCTGTACTCATTTGATCTTAAATCAGGCTCTCACACTGAAGTTCAAAGTGACCACCGAAAGAGAAGGCTGTACCTTTTAAGTAACTGGTCTGAACTCAACTATCAGAGTCATTATTGTATACCTGAGTGGGCAGGATAGGTACATAACTGTGTATCTCCATTTACACGGGGGGGGGGTAAAAGGCATCTCATGTTTTGGAAAACACAGTCATTTATCACGTATTTCAAAACTCCTGCACAGTACAAAAATGTACAAAGTCAGCATAGTACCACAGAAGATTATTTGCGCTAAGGCAAAACTTCCAAGAAAGAATGTGTAAGAACCAAAAAAAGAAAACAGAAGTGACAGAATATTTAAACTATTTAAAGGTTCTACAGGGAAAAGAAGCTTCAAGCTGACAGATAGGGTGATTGGCTATATTGTACCCCAATACACTTTAGCAGTCAAATCAAAAGTAACTCAGTAATTTAGCTATTTTTCATCCTTTAGCAGCACATAAACATAATGCATTTTAGATGTTACTGTCAGCATGAACACTTAGGAATACTGTAAAATATACTTAAGAAAATGCCTAGCCTTAGCTAATTTATGTTATGCACTATGATGGCAATTTAAAGCTTGCTTGTTTCATTATTTTCCATCTCTTTGGCTTGCTTCTCTTCTGGGGTCATTCACAAAGCAACATAAAAAAGCGGAAGTGGCAAAAATATATTCAGAGATAGGGCAGTATAATAAATGACTTTAAATTCCATTTTAGAAAAAGAAACACAACTCAACATTTCCAGGGCTTTTGTAGTCTAGAGTACTTTTAAAAATATTAATGGGTGAGAACAATAGAATGGAGCTCCAAAGGCAGGGACTGATACATGAAGTGTACTATTACAGGCATGAGTGAAGCAAGACTATGGCAAGGTTGAGGACCTGTTGCAAATAAAGGGAGACCAAAAAACCTCAAAAGTCTCAAAAAGGACAATTACTCTTTACTGGACTGTCCTGGATCTAAATGCATCTAAGGGAGAATATACATTTCAAACTGCAAGAACTTAAGTGTTGCTTTTTCCTTCTTCCCCAGCCATATTGTCTAAAGAAAAACTGCTGGAGAAGAACAAGCCAGAAACCCCAGACAGCAGGAGCAGCTACAGAAGCTGCCAAAGCAGAGAGCATAGAGCAACCAGATTTTAGCAGGACTTCCTCGACCCTGTACACCTCAGCTGCTTGTTCTGAACCTCCTTCCCACTGCTCATTCCTCAGTCGTACTCCACAACAGCACCCTTGCATGGTTTTCTCCCGAGCACCTAACATTGCTGCCTTTCCTTGAGGGTTTCATCCCAGTTGACTTACCACTTCCTAACCAAACCTAAAAAAAAAAAAACAACAATAAAATAATTTAACCAATATAACATCTTCTATCAGATACCGTTAACCCTGTGCATTACATCTTCCTCTGCAGCAGCCTTATCCAATTCGACAGGAAAGTCTTCGGGGCAGAGAGACGACCTGCTACTCGTGTCTGCCCATGATTAAGTCCAACAGGACTAACTGCTTGTCACAAGCTTAACAAGTACAGTAAGTAGTGCCAGAAAGTAAAGTACAGCTACACAAATGCTGCTGGGTTTTCCATCTTACTACTACTGGATGGACAGCACGTAGGTTTTGTGACTATTACTCTTGACACAGGGAACTTCAGATCCCCAAAGATAAGAGACTTTTTCCTGTTTAAAACACAAAATTCTTGTTACAAATGGGCTGGTGACTGAAGTACCTCCCTTAAAGCAACATAAACCTGAAATCACATGAATATTTTTCTCCTCTGGAGAAGCCACCAGAATTTTCTGCAGTTGTGGCTGCCCTGCAAATCTCATCCCAACTTATATTTTACAGGTTGTACAATTATTCAGATTTGTCTTAACCTTTGGCCCCTTTAAGACTAAAAATAACCATAATCTCTTCCTATGAAATTTAAGAAATATGTTTTGTGGATATTCCATATGTACTATTTAAAGCAAGCATAGCTTTCACTCAGCCTCAGTGAGCCATACAGTCAACTCTTCATTTTCTGCCCTACAGTGACATGGCTCAAGGTAAGTATTTTGTGTAAAAATCCAGTTGGTCCTGACACTGAAATATTAGCAGCTTTACAAAATGCATAGTGTTCAATTGGCTCTCAACATTTAATATTCAGGATCTTAACATAAATCCTGTTTCTTACTAAGTGAAAAGCAGAAACCATAATCTATAGGAAAGGTGAAGTTGTTATGTGGAAACTAAACCAGCACATTGATGATTCCTTTCCCGTTCCCAACATGGTCCAGAACATTTCTTATTGCAAAGTCAAGTTTACCTTAGACTAAAGCCACATTACAGACATGTATTTTCTTTGTAACCAACACATTCAATATTTCTACCACTACCTTCTCCTTTGTTGATAATAACTCTTGGGAGTCTGTGGTCATGCCCAGGGAGACTCTCAAACTTCTCCCATGAACTGCCCAACCGCAAGGCCATTAACTGCCTCGGTCCTACTCACTCCCCCAAAGGAAAAAGCAGAGGGTTTTGTTTGTTTGTTTTATCCAAGACATACACAAGTTATCTTAAATAAAACCAGATTTTATTGATAAATTCAGAAGCAGGAAGAAATACCACAGTAAAGCTAAATAAACACAAGTTCGGCTTAGGCTGAGAAATGCTTCTGGGGGCCTGTACAAGAAAAGCCTGTTGTGACCCAGCATTCAAAGAGCTATTCTAGCATACTCTTTCTTGCGCCATTTTCTTCGGCTCAGTTTCCCCTTACTATCAAAACGTGCCACTGCAAGGGCGTAAGTTTTATTAATTCCCCATAGAATCTAGTTA